AGGCATATTGCCCCCCCCCCCTTATCCACGGTTTCATTTTCTGTGGTTTCAGTTACCCACGGTCAACCCTGGTCTGAAAATTTAAATGAAAATTTCCAGAAATAAACAATTCATAAGTTTTAAATTGTGCACCATTCCGAGCTGCGTGGTAAAATCTCCCACCCTCCCACCGTGTCTCACCCAGGACATGCACTCTCCAGACACAATTGGTACTACGGTGCGTTTGTAGAAATTTGCATTCACTTGAAGTCATTTAACCTCATGTCACCTAAACCCAGCCTTGCTCCGGAAAGAATATTAGCATCCCCACTGTTCGAGTCCAGAGTGAAACAAGCAGCTGAGAATATCACGATTCTTACTCAGAGCCCTTCCTTTTCCAGAGAGCTTGCCAAGCAATCAAGTACACTTAAAATTTTAGAACAACGACTTCATAGATCCTATTTTATCTCAGATAAAAAGTGCACTAACTGTGAGCCATTATATATGATATTTTTATTACCCCTAAGAAACCTTATCATATAAGATTAATCATTTTCCTTTACCTAACAGCTTATGCCAGAAATATATTCTCTATTATTAATAACATCTTAATTTTATTTTCCAAATTCTGGGGAAAAAAGTAAACACATAACCACATTGGTTAGAATGGCTCTACGTGTTTGCATGTGTTTAGAATATTGAATGCCTACAAATTGACACAAGACATAATCTCATGACCTCGGAAAATGAGACTCTCACAATACAGATGTACATTTAGAATGGTGGTCAAAATTCACCAGTCGAGGCATTATGGGATATGCAAAAGGATCTGTAATATCCTCTCAACTTATTAAAATTCATGAGACTTTGAAAATATCACCCAGCCTAAGAGAGGTGTAAACAGAAAAATCTATTTCAGAGAAATAAAAAGCTTATACTGAATTCACCTTGGAAATGATTTTTTTCTATGCAAGTCCTAAAGATTTTACCCCATTTATGCCAACAGTCATTTGAGAAAGGGTTTAATGCAGGTGACTCCAATGCTTTTTATCCCTCAATAAACTATTGATAAAATTATTTCGAATAGGCCTGCTTTCCCCAAATGACTGACGGCAGCCACAGCGCAGCTGTATTACACAGACGAGCAAGGAACGTGCCCGTCGACTGCCGAAAAGTGCGGCTCCAGTGTCCTGAGTGAAGCAGAAGATGTTACCATCTGATGGCAGATACGAGAACAAGAGACCGGGATGGCGGTTTTCCTGCGGGAAACGATTCTAGATCTGTTGGAAGGAATCTCCGGATTCTATTGAACTGTGAAACAGGTAGGCTTCCCATTAATAACCGTGACACATTTTTAAGTGATTTGGAAAATTAGTGCAACTGCTTCAACAAACGGTTGAAAGGACAGGACAGAATAATCCGTTCATTTTATACAATATCCCCTTACACGGCTCATTGGACACATGGCCGTCATTAGGTCACAGATGATTTGTTACAAGCACTGCAATGGCACTGGCCACAGAGCCGTGTCTGCCCGCCATGCCTCCCAGGCCCAGCCGGCACTCGTGTCCCCCAGCGGCCACTCCATTTGTGAGCTGGGAAATACGCCACAGATCTGTCCACATCCCGCCTCCTACTTTCAGTCTTTTGCCTAAAATATTTTCAGTTATTTTCAATCATAAAGAAGAATAAACCCAGGTAGATTAGATCTGGTGAGGAAAGAAAGGAACGGAAAAAAATCTGAAAATTATCATGCTAGACGATTCTCACTGAGAAATACTAGCCTAGTTTCCTAGAATGCTTCTTAGACAGGCAATTGATGTTACCAAAGGCATGTTACCAAAGCTTTGTGGCTTGCAAAACCTCTGTTCTTACATAATCTCATCTAAATCTCCCCACAGGCCCTTATTCCCATTTCCCACATTAGACGGCATGGTAGGGGGTCGGGCACACTGGGGTGTGGGTTCACATGCCCCCCGACTTGTGCTCGGCTCACATTTCTTTCTCATTTAGCAAGGAGCAGAGGAAACACAAAGACAAGAAGAAAAAAATCCAGCGAGGTCAACCTCCAACCAGCCACAGCCAAGTCCTCTCCCCATCGCCAGGCTGCACCAGGGCAGGGGGGTCAGGGGTCAGACATCTGCAACTCCACTCTGTGTCCTTGCCTTCCCACAATGACTCACCCAGATATTCCCGTCTTGATGATAGGGTTTCCAGTTCCTCCCGGTGTCACTGTAGAGCATGCGGTACTGGGTCACCCAGTCTGAGCTGCTGTATCTTCCTTGGGTGGCAATGGCACTGATCTGCTTCCGGTTGCCAAAGTCAACCTGAAGCCATTGATAGTGGTCACTGTCCGATGGAGACCATCCCCCAGCACCTGAGTGAGGTAGAGACAAAAGGGGAAAAATAGATAAAGTTAAACTTCTGTAATTGACAGTGGAATATTTTTCAACTTGGAGTTGGCAGTGGCAGTGCTGTATTTCACATGGATATTATGAAATGTCCTCTACAGATGCCACTGGGACTTCCACTAATATTCTTCCAGCTGGGTTACAATGGTGCTCTAACCCCTTTATGGTATAATTATGTGCTCATTTTCTCCTGAGCAAATGTCTTCATAATTCCTCAATTAGATCTTATTAGTACATGTCAAAGTCTAATTGGCTGAGGGTTGATCAACTTACCGTGAATTCTGCAACTAAAAGTCTCTGGGAAAAATATGCAACAATCTATGAATACCTCATACAAGGTTTTATCTTTCAGTAGACTATAAATGAAGCAAAAAATAATTGCTATACACAACTCTAAAATATATTTTGCTGTCAAAAGGTCAGAGTTCAAAAAATACTAGTTTTTAAGGTGAGGTGTAGTCTTATATTAAGCTCTTGTACTCATGAGAGGTAGATAGTAAATCAGGCAATATGTTGACTAACATATAAAGGATATACAACCAATGACTCTTGATAATCACATTTCTAGGAAAATCACTTGAGTTACTAAGTGAAGTAAAATTCAAACGATTGGCAAATAGTAAGAATGCAAAAATATTTAATAGAAAAATAGCATTAATATAGAACAAAAAGACTCCTAATTTATACCACTGTGTAAAATAACTATGGTTGTGCATAAATATATTACAGAAAATACGGCATAATGCTTCATGCTAACAAGCAATATAATTTTTTGAGTGAGTTTGGCTGCTAATGGGAGTAAGTAAGAGGAAAATATTCAATAAATTATGCAATTTAGAGTACACCAAAATATATGCATCACTTTTCAAATAAGGAATTAAAAGGCTGACAATAAAATAACTTATTCAATGAGGACTGTGCTAATAAAAATCATTTTGTAAATCACCACAAATAGATCGTTCCTTTATTGATGTTTATATGGCTTATTTTTGCTTTCAGCTGTGATAGAATAGCTCTCCTACCACAAAGAATTACAAACCTGACAAAATGTATAAAATTACCCTTTCTGGGGATTGGACAATAGGCAGTGCAGGACCCTGATGCATGAGAGAAGATAAACAAATGAGGTGAGCCCTGCCAGCTTCTTGGCTTTCTGCCTTGTTCAGGTTCTGGATCATGGCTCATGGAGGAATATCCTAAATGGAAACAGCAGCCTCTCTAAGATGGAGACAAACAGAATCAAAGCTACTAAGGAAAAGAATTTGTAGGAAGAAGTACCAGAAGGGGGCAGCCATGCAGAGAAAGAGTCCTGAGAATCTGCACAAGATTCCCAATGAGTTTCTAAAGTTCAGACTCTGGATGAAAACCGAACTGTATATTTGAAAAACGACACTCCACAAGACCAGCTGGAGGGAGATCTGAAATGAACCACCAAAGGATACCCAGGGATGAGGCTAGGTTGAAAGCAAGATTGAGCAAACTTGTTGAACAACCCTATGTGGTCAGTAGAGATCTCAGAAAGGGATTAAAATAATTTAGTCCTAAAAAAGGGCAACTCTGCACGCATCAGAACCAAGAGCCTGAAAAAAGATTAATCTGATGCACAAATAAATAACTCCTTGCTCAAACAAAACTCAACACTCCATTAAGGAAGGCCATGAAAGTTTAGAAACTCAACAACATAGCATCCATAATACCCAGTATACAAATTTTGAAAAACATTAGACATTTGTGGAAGCATGAAAATATGACTTATAACCAGAGAAAAGTCAGTCAATAAAAATTGACTGAGAAATGACAGAGATGATGAAATGAGCAGGCCAGGACTTTAGAACATAGATTATAAATTCATGCCACTTATAAAAAGATAACATATAAATATTAGACATAAATATGAAATCTTAATAGAGAAAAAAATCAACAAAAGAGAAAAAATGAAAGTTTATGGTCTAAAAATTATATCTGAAATAAAACATTTATTGGATGGGCTTAACAGCAGGTTAGAAGCTGAGGGGAAAGAAAAAAAATTTAGTGTACTTGAATATAGGATCATATAAACCTTCCATATTGAAGCTCAGAGAGAAAAAAGGCTTAAAAATGAACAGTCCTCCACTAACCTATAGGATAATATTGTGTCCTAACAGTCATACAAACAGAGCACTAAAAGCAGAGAAGGTAGAAATTGGAGAGAAAAAAATACATGGGAAGAAATAATGGTTGAAAAATATAAACCCAGATATCTGAGAAATTTACCAGATTCCAGGCAAGATAAATAAAAGAAAAACACATGAAGACACATCATAATCAACTGGTAAAAACGCAATGCTAAAGAGGAAATCTTGAAAGTAAACAGAAGGCAATAATGTCTCAGCAAAACAATACAAGCTGCCTGGCTGGCGTGGCTCAGTGGTTGAGCGTCGACCTAGGATCCAGGCGACTGGGGTTCGATTCCCGATCAGGGCACATTCCCAGGTTGTGGGCTCGATCCCCGGTGGGGGATGTGCAAAAGGCGGCCGATCAATGACTCTCTCGTCATTGATGTTTCTCTCTCTCTCTCTCTCTCTTTCTCTCTCTCTCTCCCTCTCCTTTCCTCTCTCTGAAATCAATAAAGATATATTTAAAAACACAAACAAAACGAAACAATACAATCTGAAAGACAATGAAACAACATATCTGAAGTGATAGAAAAGAGGAAGCCACCAGCCTATAAGTCTATACCCAGCTAAAATATCCTTTTAAATGAAAGCAACATAACAATATTTAGGACAAAAGCTGAAAAAATTCATCATCAGTAGATATGTACTATAAGAAATGGAAGTTTTTCAGCTCCAAGGATAATGTACTGTATTAAAACTCATATGTACATAAAGAAATAAACGCCAAAAATGGCAAACATATCAGTAAGTATGAAATATTTGATCATGTTTTTAAATTCCTTTAAAAGATAATTGAGGGTTTAAAACAAAAACAGTAACAATGCATTAGAGATATAGGAGTAAAATGTATGAGTATAATAGCAAAAATGACAGAAGGCAAAGAAAATACATACTGTACTGAGTTCATTATATAACATTTCAAGTGGTATGTTATTTGATGGTTGTGAGCCCTAGATCGAGGGTCAGCAAACTTTCTCCATAAAGGGTTAAATACGGAATGATTTGGGCTCTGCAGGCTATACTACCTCTGTTACAACTAGCCAAGTCTGCTGCTGTTGCATGAAGTCATAGATCATATATATATAATGATGGCCATGTTCCAATAAGACTGGGAAAGTAGTAATTTTCCTTTAAGTGTCAGCATGTTCCCTGCAAATAACAGCTCCTGCAGTGGGTGCTGTGACGTGCCCTTCAGGTCCTCCCCTGTGACTGCGGACTTAGTCACTGCCTGAAGACACTAGTCAGCTGTGATTCCCTTTTAGGAATTTCCCGAGTCAAAAAGAGGGACTTACCCAAGGTCGTGCACCTTTCTGGGGTTGTACAGATGCAATGACTGGTCAACCAGATATTGTAGAGGTTGGGGACCCTCACCCCAACTTGGGAAATCTCTGAAGGGTCATCGCAGCCTCAAAGCTCCCTGCAGAATTGGCTGATGCCTCCTCCGAGACTGCACTGCATCCCAACTTCTCTCTCTGCCCATTGCCTCTTCATGCCCTCCCCTTCCCCAGGCCTCAGCCCCCTAAAACCCCCTAGCAGAGTCCTATGTGCTTGTCTCCATCTCAGAGTTTGTACCCTGGAAAATGCAGTCTGCAGTACCTCCTCGGAACCACCTTCCTGATAATCGGCTCACTAGCGACATGAATTAATCACCTCTGCTTTCTACTCACGGCGTTATTCAGACCCTGTATTTTTTCCTATTGTAGTATCTAATATCCCCTAAGGTCGTATATCATCCACATGCCTATTTCGCCTAGAATTCTATAAAATTCTGAAGAATAAATTTCTGGGATAACAATGTACCCAGTCATCAAGAGATTATAAATATATGTTCCTATCGGTTAGATACTGTGTTCCAAACTTAGGAGAAATTCTATAGCTAATTCCATATAAAGTCCTATCTATGTGTGGCTGAAAGCAACAAGGTGGTTTGGCCCTTCAAGGAAACATGCAATTATTACAATGCATGGAGAGGAGAAAATATGTTCAACTGATGGTTTGCTGACATTTAGAATATTCCCCCTAATTAGTCCTGTGAAAAATATTCCAGAATCAGTTTTCTTAAATAAACCAATTTTTGCTGCATTACAATTTTTCAATAAGGAGGCAGCTAACATGCAACAACCTAAACCCATTAATCTCATTATTTTAAAAAATAGAATTTACTGACAACTTCAAGAGAAGCAAAAGTCCAAAACAAGTAAAAATACAAGTGAAGGCGTGTTCCTTAGCAGAAGGATATGTGGAGGGGATAGTGATGGGCCTCAAGGGGGGGGCAAATGCCAGGCTTTCTTGGGGAACGCGGTGGGGAGATCGATGGGAAGTTTCCTGTTTCCCTTTGATCTATGAAGCAATGTAATTTGGGGGAGTCGATTACTTTGTTCATTTGGCTTGTGGCATGTCTAACCTCTATCGATCCAAGGATTAAGAATGATAACCCTTTCATCACAAAGACCTCAGGAAAGTAGTATATAAGAGAGCCGAAGTGCTCCCCAAGATAGCGTGGAGTGCGCAACAGGCCAGCGTGTTCCCGGCGGATACTGTGGTGGCTCAAAGGGAAAAATGGAACGTCGAAGAGGAGGCACGGACGGAGGGGATGCTAAAGAGTCATAAACTCTTGGCTTCTGAGAAGACTTAAGAATAACTCTGTCTAGAAATAATAGAGCCAAAAATATCTGGTAAATAACGAATGAATTGTTAGGGTGATTTGAAAGATGTGTACTACACATCTTTTTCTTTATATGTCTTCATTGATTTCAGAGAGAGGAAGGGAGAGGGAGAGAGAGAAACATCAATGATGAGAGTCATCGATC